CATCCATCTATGGGGGGACCGTCCTGGAACCTCAGGTCGGCTCCTGATCTCGTTTCGTTCTTCTGACCCTCCAGAACCTTACTTCAGCCCGTCACCTGCTTTAGGTCGGCACCGGTGTCTGAACAGCACAAACGTCGGGCTCGCGGACGGGCCCGCGGAGATGTCTTAGCTAACTATATCTAGAATTCAGCTCGGCACTTGCACTTAACCGGGTCTTTGGTTCGGCTCTGGGGGTCGGTTCGGCTTTCGGGAGGTACCTATTCTCCCTCTCCTCTTCGGGGCGAACTCGGATGTCAACAATATCAACCTTAAGAGCCATAAAATATCTCTTACCAGTTCTATGGGATTTAAGAAAATGAAAGACTTCATGTGCTAAAATCACATTATCTATTGTTGTGTACGAATTGTTATTTTTACCAAGTACCGAATCGAATGATTTGTTCCCCGGGCTGATCTCACAAGGAAGGCAATTCGAAATTTAGCTTCGGTATTGATTTCACACAAAAAGAAAATAAAATCCTAAACACTCTAATCAAATAAGGGGGGGGTTGAATAATTATTAACTAAGAAATAAAATAAACAATAATCTACCTAAAAATATAAACGAAACAACGATAAAGAAGCTAGAGAGTCGGGGATAATTAATTCAAGTTCTATTTGCACACCGGGACATTAATCATTCTATTCTAGATTGACGCTCTCGCTTAAGCATCTAGCGGTTCGCTCCTAATAACTCTTCGTAACAAGGGATTGAACATAGACGAACAAACTTGAGCATACGACACATGTCAATTATCCCAATCCCAATAACTATTCGTAACAAGGGACGAGTCATCGACAAGCACGTATTTCAATCCAAAACCTATAGACTATTCAATTACGAAGAGAGTTAAATTAAATTAGAAGAGAGTTAATCGACTAATCATATAGAATCAACAAAACCCTAACTCGACTAATCAACATTCAATTGTTTCCAATTGCAAGATCGAAGTGTCACTCTTCGATTATATCAATCAATAAAACAAGATTTCATCAATTCGTAATCAAATCAACCGCACAAGAACAAATAATTCAAGCCCGACAAATACACGTTAAACGAGAACAATCATCCCCTATCCCTAGTAATAAGAATTAGCTAAGTAATATCAATTCAACACAATCCATCATCTCTCTCAATTCAACCATTATTCATGAATTAAAAATAAAGAGAAGAACTTACAATAAATCGCAATTCCAAGTGTTGAATTTGAATTACAAGCTTAATCCTTGAATACTAATAAAAATAAGAAGAAAAATGGAAAAGAAAGATGAAGAGAAGAGGAAGAACGAAGAAGAAGAAGAAGAAGAAGAGGAGGAAGGAGAGGAAGGAGAAGAGGAAGAAGAAGGAGAAAAATAAAGGGGGGAGGCGATTTTCGGACCTAGGGTTCCTCCCCATTCGAGATGATGGTGAAAGAATGGAGAAGAAAACAAATTTTTGGGGTTCTTATACCATTCTGGGACTTGCAGGGGGCCTTAGCGCCGCTAAAGGGGGATAGCGCCTGTGCCTTAGCCGTTCGAGCCAGTACCGTGTAGCGCCGCTATCCTATGTGTTTTAGCGCTGCTAAGGTGCCTTAACGGCGCTAAGGCTCTGGCAGCTTGCTGGACTTTGCTTCTCGGGTCCGTTTGGGCTCGTCCGAACTCAGAATTGAGTTTCGTTTTCTCCCACGCATCGCTAACGAACTCTCTATTCAATGATGCTTGAATGGCCAAATTATTCTTAAAGTTCAATTCTCTCAAAGCTTATGACCAGCACACCAAAGACACACCAAAGACGTGATTCGTGCGACTTCGCGTTTTGGGCCCGTTTGGACTCGTCCGAGCTCGAAATCGAGCTCCGCTTTTTCCTATATATCGCCAACAAACCCGTCTATGCAACCATGATTGCCCGTTCAATTTTCGGACAAAATCTCTTCCTCACAGGGCTTCCAGCCTGCACACCAAAAACAAGAAGAAAAAACCAGAAGAACACACAAAAACACATAGAAGACCAAAATAGAGTAAAATACAAAATAAACTACAAAAACAACCAAAAACCAACTAAAAGACCTAAAACAGGGGAAAAATAAAGACAAAACAATAACGAAAAACGCAACAAAAATGGGACAAACATCTATAATTTGCCTATTAGGAACAAAAGCTGACTGAAATTCACAAATACAAGAAGGCAGACAAGGCTTAAGCCTTAGTGCAAGAATTTTTTATATAATTTTGTATATGACATTGCAGAGGCTTATAGGCCTGAATTGGGACACTGACTCTGGGTTTCTGCATTTTGGAGTGAGAGTGATAAGGGCATGGTTGAGGCTTTTAAGAATTCTACCAGAAGCAAAAAAACTATTAACAGCTGCACATAAATCATCTTGCACTATGCACCAAAAAGATTGGAAAAAAGAAGAGGTCATACCATCTGGGCCAGGTGCTTTATGAGGGTTGATAATGAAGAGGGCATCTCTGATTTCTTCATTTGTAATGGGTGCCACAAGATCAGAATTCATCTCTTCTGTAATGACCCTTCTGAACCCATTGAGCAACCTATCCCCAGTTATGGTTCCCTCTGAAGAGAAAAGCTTCTGATAAAAATCCTCAATGCAGAATGCAATTTCCTCTTTGCTCTCCCAAAATGTGTTGTCTTCCCTTCTGAGTCTGTGAATATGATTGATCTTCCTTCTTTGGGTTGTATGGGCATGAAAGAATTTGGAGTTTTTGTCTCCATGTCTTAGCCAGGTGATTCTGGATTTTTGAAGCCAATACTTCTCTTCCCAGCTATAAGCTTCATGAAGCTCCCTCTTAAGCTTATCCCATTTTTGCCAATCTCTTAGTCCCTCTGCTGCATTCAGACTCTCCATCTTTTTATTGATCTTTGCAATTTTCAGAGCATTTGCTGTTTTGAAATTACTGCTCCATTTCAAAAGCTGCACTGTAGTTTCTTTAATTTTAGCTTGCAGAGCAAACATAAGAGTGTCATCTCTGGGTCTAGACCAGGCTGCTGTGACTTCGTCTTTGATTCCCTGCTTATCCAACCATCTGGCATCAAACTGAAATCTTTTCCTTTTAGCAGATTCTGAGATTGAGCTACTAAGCAGAAGCAAACTGTGGTCTGATGCGCTTCTAAAAATATTGGTCACAGTGGCTGACTGGTTTTGATTAACCCATTCCTGTGAACCAAATATCCTGTCCTATCAATTCTCTCTTCAACAAAACCTTCAAGCTCTCTATTATTACCCCAGGTGAATGGGTATCCTTTCATTCCAATTTCCATCATCCCCATGTCACTGATAAATTTGTTGAAGGTTTCACAGGAATCCAATGTTCTTGCCTTTCCACCTTTTTTTTCATCTGGATGCATTATGTCATTGCAGTCACCTCCAAGAAACCAGTAGTCCCCCCATTTTTGCCTTTCTGAAAGAAAATATTGCCATTGGGTTCTCCTAACATTTCTGTCAGTGCCTGCATAAAGAAAAATCCCCCAGCCAACCTTAGCCTTGCCTTCATCCCAAAATTCAATTTCAATGGAAAAAGAAGTTTTCTCTATTCTGAAAATTTGGATGGAACTATCCCAAAATAACAGAAGCCCTCCACTCCTTCCTAAGGGCTCCACTGAGGTCCAACTATTTACAACCCCCAGATTTCTACGTACTGTTTCAACAAAAGCATTCTTTTTTTTGGTTTCTAAAAGAAAGAAAAGAGAAGGGTGATGGAGTCTCCATACCTCCTTGATTTGGAAAACCGTAGAGGGGGCCACCCACACCTCTACAGTTCCACACCGCAATCTTCATTTAAACCCTTGGGGCCATTTGGGGCTGGCCTCCATCACCTCTTCAGTAAGTTTCAATTTTTTCTCAGGTTGTTCTTCTTGGTCAGGGTTCTTGGTGTCAGTTGGAACATTCTCACTTTCCAGTTGTCTTTTTGTGCTGATCATTCTGGGCTCAGTGTTCTCTTCTATTCTGATCCCAGTGGTTGGTTTAATTCCTCTTCTATGTTGACTTTATCCCTTTTTCTTCAGTAGGGGATACCTTTGCCTCTGGTGGTGTTGATTTGGTTGTGAGTTTGGTTGGGTTGGAAGGGTTAATACATTGCTTAGATGTGGTAGTTTCAGTTTCCATGTCTTGTGGTGGGGATATAGATATGGGTTGATGGGTGATGTTTAGAATAGGTTCTGTCATAGAAGGATTTTTTGAGGTTCGGTTTAGCTGGGATGTGAGTGTTAATAACGGATCTGGGTTGGTTGATTCTGAATTGGTGGATATATGCTTTTTGGTGTAGGGGATAAGGGTTTGAGTTTTATCTGGAGCATTTGTAGCTGAGAGAGATTGTGAGATTGGTTTAGGGTTGTTGGTGTTATGATTTGGGCTTTGAGGGGTAGGGGTGGGGCTTGGTGGAGAGTCTCTTGAGGTATTGTTGGTGAATGAGGAACTTTGGGCAGTTAAGTAAACAATGTCTTGAGCTTTCAGCCACTCCCCGTAATTGTTTTTAGACAGACAATTATTGGCAATATCTGTTGCCCTCTCTCACAAGTTTTGTCTTGGTGGCCTAGAAATCCACAGTAAAAGCAGCAGTTCACCAGTCTTTCCCCAATTCTAATAATTTGTCATACTTTTTTTTTAATAGAAATAAATATATATATTGTAAACATTCATACATTTATTTATATTATTTTTTAGAATATGATATTTTAATTTTAAAGTATGCGTATGAAAAATATGTCTATTTTAACAAAGTCTTTGACTTTTTTTTGTTTTTTTTTGTTTGTTTGTTTTTTTTTTTCTAACTTCAAGCAAGTCGCTACGAAATGTTGAAATTAAGAACCTTCTCTCATTTTGGAAAATTTTTGTCTTATAGAAGATGGTGATAAAAACAAAATC